TTGATCTCTATCTTTGTTTTCTTTTTTCATTGCACGTTGCAACAAGTATTCATATACAAAAAAGTATCCACCAAATCCTTGTAATTCACGTGCCATAGAAATTACTTGTCCCTTATAAATTCCACGAATTCCATATGAAGAATAAATTTTTTTGATACAGTCAATTGGTCCGGAATAAAATTGAGCTTGAGTTGAAGCAGATGATTGCGTAGGTGTGATTTGGACTTGAAGGCCTGTATGTTGTACGTATTTTTAAACGTAAATATTAGCAATTTGGATCATTTGCTGTAATTCTTTTTTAGTTCTTTTTACAAATCTTACGTGTACGAATATGTTCAACCGGTCCTAATAAAGAAAAAAAATTCAAAGTTTATATTAGGAAATACTTTCAAATACTTCCTAATATTTGGTTAATTCTTATCATACCTGAAATTACAGAATTAACTAATCCAGCAGTTGCTCCTGATATATATAACTGCGAGTTCGTTAAAAAAGGACTTTTATTTCCATTCTTTTCCATAAAATATCGTTTCATATATCCTAATGATGCAAACTGAATTGATACACATGCTCCAATTCCTATTAAAGGTGTTGTAGTTCCCTAATTTTTTATAGAAATATTCAATAAAGTTTTTGTAAAACTATTTCGTAAAGGTATGGAAATTAACCTTATAAAATGCACTGAAACCTTCTTTACTAGTTTTTCGTACGCAATCTAACATACTGGAATATAATGGTGGTTGTCCAAGTTTCGGTGTTGGCTGCGTTTGAAGTCTCTGATTATACATATGTAAGCATTAAAGCATTAATTCCACATGTTAATTAATCAATTGCTTCACAATTATACAAAATGATCAATTTGAAAAAACAAAAACTTACAACTTTAACAGTATCAAATGGCTTTTTATCATAAACCAGGAACGATTGTGTTAAATAAAGGTAATAAGATTAATTAATAACATTAATAGATGGTATTACCTGTCCAACTAATACTTGCGCAATTCCACCAACAGTCCCACTAAAGCAATCTTTAAACGCCTTCATGGCTGCTCCATCATGGGAAACCTTCTTTAAACTAACTTCTTCCATTTATAACTAGTTGATACACTTATAAAGAAATTGCTCTAACAAAAGAAAAAACAAGAAAAACTAATCTGGGTATCTAATTTATATACAGGACTCCTATATGAATGTTGTATCGTACTACATACCAGTATGTAATTTCTAATACATATCAACTTTTCAATAATTATTACTGTTACAGACTTAACAATCAAACTTGTTCATATTAATACTGTACGAAGAACAGTGTACGTACGTATTACATGTGAATCTGAATATCCGGATTTTTGTGTAAAATGAGGGTCGCTGATCATTCCGTGTATATCCATTTATTATCGGTTATACATACCGGTACGCATTTTGTTAGCAATATATCAATTTTCAATAACTTGTTTAAATGGGGAAATTTACTTCACGCAATTCTGACCAACCGTGTTTGTTCTGATGATGAATTGCCATTTCTGATCATAGAACTTGGATTATTAATTATTTTTTTAGAGGTCTAGTAATAATAATCCCCCGTGATCTTGAAATATGATCGGGTGTGGAATGTCCAGAAACCTGCTTTTTTTAAACAGTTAAATTACTGCTTTTGTTTGACTATTTCCGCAAATCTGCTTAACCAATTAAAATTAAGAATATTATTAGTAATTAAATAATTGAGTGTTCGAGAGTGAAAAGGTGCAAGTAAATATTTGACCCCATAAAATATTGTACGACTTTGACTGATCAAATTTCAAATATTTACTTGCATCTTTTCACTCTCAGTACTGTTGTTAGGCGAAACTATTTTTGGCAAATGACGAAAGACGAAGCTAAACCCGGCGAAAGACGAAACTGGCAAAACTGGCGAAACCCTTGTAAAGTTGAAACCCCGGAGAAAGTGAAACCTCAGCGAATATCAAATCCTCAAAGACTTTGAAAAAGATTGTGCCATGTTAGTGAATCAAAATATTTGCGCGTGGCTATTAAGATTTTGAAAAAGACTGAGCCATGTTAATGAATCAAAATATTTTGCGCGTGGCTATTAAGCATAGCATGTGGCTTAAATGCACAAAAGCAGTAAACAAAGTGATAACCTTTTGTTTGTATTCGAATACTATTAAAAAAAAAACTAGACTTCGGGTTTTTAAACTTATAATTAAATCAATTCAGCCTTGAAAATTCAAAGCCCGAAATCTTGCTTTCTTTTAGTAATCTATGTTTAATATTATTCATGTAAATATTTAAATAAATTTATTGTTACATTGTTAAAATTTTTTTCTTTAACATTTCATCGTTAAAACTTTAATTAAATGCTATACATACGTAAGTAGTTCGTTAACAATATTATTACTGGCGATTATTTCCGATGCTTTATTTTATCCAGTCCTAAATCTTTAAGGAAATAATATTGACTTATAATATATCAAATGTAGTAAAAATTTTGACTATTGATCAAAAAGCATCGTATATATGATAGCATAATTATACACATGCTGTATGTCAAATTAGAGTTGGGTAAGAGTCTATACTTAAAGTAATAATTGTATCCATTCTGAAATCTATATCTGGTTATCTGTGAGTAGGTTATTATTTATGAATACAGATTTTACTATTGTTACTTATTTTCCTAAAGTTTATCTTTCTAAAATATAATTTCTTAGACTCTATAATTCTAAATTTTTTTTAACAAAACATAATTTGGGATCTGTTTATTTTACTACAATTTAATTTAATGATAGTTTAAATCATCAAAAAAATTAATCGTATAAAAGTGTTTAATTTTCTTTAATTACCTTCTATTCTTGCTTTTATTAATTTTATCTTCTTTAATCAGTTTTGCTACCTTTTTAATTGTCTTTAATTACCTTTCTATTCTTGCTTCTTTTATTAAGTTTATCATCTTTAATCAGGTTTGCTACCTTTTTTTTTTTAGTTTCACCAGTTTCGCCAGTTTCGTCATTTCGCCATTTTAATTTTTGGTTGGCAAAAGTCGAAACTAGTTTCGCCTTTCGTCTGTGGCGAAACTCTCAAGTTTCGCCTAACAACACTACTTTCGAGCACTCAATTAATAAATAATGATAATTCAGCTTTTTTTGCGCAGAATCAGCAGAATTTGTACACTCAGGATTATGGGCTTCAGAAGTTTGCATAGTTCCCCATTGGAAAATAAATGAGCAAATTTCCATTAATCCACAAATGTATGATATAAAGGTTTTGTATTATGTGGAAATAAGCTTATAGTCCGTTATTAATTTACCAAATTTTTTATAAAGGTCCCGATGGCCAGAGTTGTTGCTGTGATTTGAGCAAATGAGCCAATTTCTCTATAATGTAACCCAAGTTCCCGAAAGCCATTTTCCTGAAAAGACATAATCTCGACAATGTTTGAAGTAGAAATGGGAGCCGGATATACGCCAATTTTTACTGTTTTAATTTTATAATGAAATTATCAACTAACAAATCGGATACCCCATAAACTTTTAAAAAAACTCTTTCTGACAATCAATTTTACCAAAACCGGAGCAAAAAAGAAAAAACCCCGAAACAAGATAACGGAAGAAAATACTAAGCGAACATAGCAAGACCCCCTAAGTAAACTTGTCCAGCGCTGCTGGAAATACATTAAAGTAATAAACTTTACCAGAAATACCCACAGGAACAACAACTACTGGACGAAGAATATAGAAACAACAAACTTTACAACTCTGCGCCCACAAGTGGTTTGGTCCTATGGACCTGTCAACTCCGTCCCAAGAGACACCTCAAGACAACACACTAGCTACTAACAGCAACGCAAATAACAGCCAAATGCAAACACCTGCACAACAGACCTCCAACACTACAGCGCAACAAAGTGGCTTCCTCACAGGCACTTTTGCTTACTTCTCCCATAAGACATCCAGCCCCAAGGTTACAACAACAGCAGATGCACAACAAAAGGAACCAACAACAGAATACACTAAAGAATTTATTAATATTACAGTTAAAGATTGGGCAAAACTCACCTTCACAGTCTCCTTCATTGTCCCTGACTTCGCCAACAAATACATATTTACTACTGACCTCACCAAGTCAGAATGTATTCCAAATTTGGTCAAGTTTCTTGCACAATAGATATGCAAGCACAATAAGGTTAACTAATCAATCCTATTTGATCTTACCAACCCAAAACACAACTCTGTAAACATTAACGTCAAGCTACTCAGAAGCACTCATAGCTGTGACCTAGAGACAACAATTAAAGCTTATGAAGATACACAAAAGTTCTATGTAGTACCAAAATATTCAAAAGACCTAACATTAGTTTCATATAACCACATAGCAGAAATTGAAACAGACGACAACAGTAACCAAGAGCAGAATACAAATTAGGCAACAGGCATTACACCTAATCCTAAGCAAGGTGTAACTAATACTAATGCAAACATAACAAGCGATAATGTAACACCTTCTACAAGCAGCAACACAACCAGCAATCATACAATTTGAGCTAACAAATGTTCATTCGCACAAGCCAATAGATCAACAAACAATATAGTTGACTACTCAATACACAAGTCCAATACACAGCTATCAGAAAATCAAAAAGGGAAAAAATGGGCTAGACTACAACCAATAACTACTAACTCAGCAAACCTACCTCCACCAATCTACTTATCCTCCATGATCTTACCTATATATTCAACTGCTACAATAAACTTAAACTTCACACAGAAATCACCCTATAGTAAGATTACACAGAAAGGTTTTAAACTACCAACTTTTAATGTATCAGACAACATGGAATGGGCAAATCATATACAAAACAAGATAGTACAAAGGACCAAAACACAATTTGACCAACAAACCTGGTCATATAACACAATAGCAACAGCTCTGCAAACTGCGGTTGGTATCTGACAGTTTGTTGAACACAAGTTCAGTTCTACTTCAACTCAAATAGAAATACCTTCAGCAATACAACTAAAGTTCAAATACCAGAATACACGTTTCTTCATAATATTCACAAGAAATGCTAATACAATGCCAGCACACCAAAGAGAGTATGCAAATCTATATAGTGATACAACTAGAAATTATAAAACTACTAACCAGATTACTATTATCAACCAAAATACTTGTAACTTAATCCACTCGATGCTAAAGAAAATGCTTATCTCACAATACCTGATGAATACAAACTTTGTTACTCTGATACCCTTTGTAATATTTAAACTTATTTATTATACTAGGGGCTTCTTACAAATTCAAAATGAAAATAAGTATACACCAAAGAAAATCAAGATAGCAATCAACTAGGCGTTGCAAGAAAAACTTGCTCTACTACCTGAAAGCCTAGAACAAATCCCAGATATAGTTCAACATATCTTACCATTTAATTTATCTATTATATAATGTTCTTATACCAAAGCTATAGTTAATAGATTACAAAAAATCTTTATATTTGATCAGCTAC